TTGGGTTAAAGGGTTGGAATATAAATTGTGCTTCATCAATTTTGCGTTAATTGCGTTCAATTTTAAATTATTTTAAATTATAGTTAAGGATTGTAAAATTAATCGCATGTGTTAACGCGTTAACGTTGACAGCCCTAATATACATATATATATATATATATATATATATATAAACTTAAATTTTCTTGTTGTCTGGACAATTTATAAAAAAATTATGTCTACAAAAAAATAAATAAATACATTGAAATGGCAAATCTCAAAATGTATTTATTTACAGTGCAGTTTTGGCATGAAGCAACACAAATGTAAGGCTGTTATTTGATTTTTTTATTATTTTTTTTAATGTCCTCAATATCATGCTTTGCTTCAAGCTTTTTTTTGTCTTTTTCACTTTTTACTCAGTTGTGAAAGTAAAATAGCCTACCTCGAATACTTTTTTTGAATATTTCATAGAAATTGTGAAAAAAGTCAAAACTGTTTCCTCTTTCCACCTCACTCAAAAATGTGCTTTGTCTCTGTGTTTAATCCTTGATACATAACATTCAATAGAGTATACAGATCTTTTAAAGCCATTTCTGGGTGGGCGATGATCTTTCCCAATATTCAGTATGACTTTCCTCTTTATATGTTATTGTTTTATTTGATTTTTTTTACTGAAGAGACAAATTTGACATGGCTGATGAAAGTAAATTCTGTTGTGTACTTTTTTATTAAAATTATTTCTCTTATCCCAGTTTAATATGCAGAGTCGACTGGAGGTTGATGCCCCTGAATGGCATAAACACTGTGAATGTGTGGCGCTTTCAACTTATAGATTTGTATTTTTCAGCTTTTGAGTGACTATTTTCCTTCATTCAATCATGTAACAGCCAAAGCACATCTCTGGTAAATACGACATGAAAAGGTTTTTATAGGAATGTCAGTGCTGAATTGATTTTCGTCAATCTGCACAAACTCTTTATGCAAAATAAGGCAACCTTGCACACCAGAAAGAGGCATGATGAAAATCTAATAGAATGATGTTCATGCTGTGAAGTGCAGGCAATTCAGTTTGTGAAATAAAAATCATTGCTTTTCCTTCTGAGCAGAGTGGTGCTCTTTCTGTCCAGACTGAAATAACAGCCTATATGAAATTTGTGTTTCCTTTTATTGGAGTGATGCTGTTCTGAAAGTCACTAAGTAAGCACTACATGGACAAGAAGATTTAAAGGGTTAGTTCACACAAAAATGAAAATTAGCTTGTGTTTTACTTACCCTCGAAGCATCCTAGGTGTATATGACTTTCTTCTTTCAGACGAATCCAGTCGGAGTTATATTAAAAATTGTCCTGGCTATTCCAAGCTCTATCATTGCATTCAGCGGGTGTTGCAGTTGAACAGTCCACAAGTCGTCAAATAAAGCTCGCGCATTCATAATAAAACGTGCCGCAGACGGCTCTGGGGGATGAATAAAGGCCCCCTGTAGCGAATCCGTGTGTTTTTTTTAAAGAAAAATATACATATTTCAAGCGTAATAAACACTTTTCTCTCACTTCCGCTGACTGTCATACACTGAAGCCGTTCCGGCGGATGACGTGAGCACGTTTACATGCACACCAGTAAGCTGATAACTCACAAATATCAGCTTATTAAAAAAGTCATATACACCTAGAATGCTTGGAGGGTAAGTAAAACACAAGCTAATTTTCATTTTTGGGTGAACTAACCCTTTAAACTATTTACATTACTAGAATAGACCAATTTCAGTGTTTGCAAACAGTGATGACGGTTTTTGTGGACGGAGCCTATCTGGTGGCAGAAAATGTCAGTTTTAACGTAGCAGTCTACGGAAGCCATGGAATAAATGAATAAAAAAGGTAATTTTGAGTTTATATGTCAAAATTCTGACTTTTTTCTTGCAATTCCCAGATTATATCTCACAATTCTGGTAAGAAAAAAAATCAGCTCGTCATTCTCTCTTTTCCCCTTGGCTCAGAATCATGAGTTTATAATCCCACACTTCTGACTTTTTTCCCTCAGAATTGACAAACTCGCAATTGTTGAGTTGAATCAAGTTATAAAGTCCGAACTAGGAGATATACACTTGCATTTGCAAGAAAAAAAAATCTGAATTGTGAGATAAAATAGGTAAATGTTATGTAAAATGTTATAGATTTAAATAGTATTTCATGCTTTAACTGTAGGGCTAATACAATATGTCCCCTATGGGAATATTATATAGACCTATTGTTTAAATCAAATGTATGCTTTAAAAGTAGGGTAATCATAGCAGGTTTCATCCATAGTTTGTCCGTTTAAACGTCTGCGTTTAGCTTCAAATGACGTCTTTGACGACAGTATTATATAAAAATTATTTGCATTCCGATTCTGACATCTAAAGGCACAACAATACATTTTTTATCTTATTCCATTGATTTTACCCGTTTACCTCAACTTGTTCCCAGTGTTTTTCTGCCACCACAATGGACTCGCAGCTGCAAGTGACGTAACTGTGACGTGTACTCCAAATTGGTCTATAACCGACTATGAACCAACCAAACATTCACTTATGCAGAGTTCGGATCTTTCCAAGTTGCTAAAATAGTTTGCGTCTGCCAGTCAATCTATATCCTGTGCTACATACTTTATGAAGCATTAAAGCAACAGCTCTGCTCATCTCTTCTCAAAAAAGTACATTGCTTGATATTACATTTCTAACATTAATTTTCCTCAGTGTAACAATCCTGTAATATTATACTCACTATTCCAGGGGTAGGCAAGTTCGGTCCTAGAGATCCGCAGTCCTGCAGAGTTCAGCTCCAACTCTAATCAAACACACCTGAACAAGCTAATCAATGTCTTCAGGATTACTAAGGCTATAGGCAGGTGAGTTTTTTTTTCAGGGTTGGAGCTGAACTCTGCAGGACTGCGGGAACTTGCCTACCCCTGCACTATTCCAATATTTCATATGAAACATCATCATTTCAAAGTGCAACTAAACTATCCAACTGCACTGAATGGCTGGCCTCAAAACACATGAGTGCTAGAAGGAAGACAACAGCTTTAAGAAGAAGGAAATTATGATAAAACAGGCAGGAATATAACACTCCAGATTAATATCACAATCCAAAACTTCAGCCATTTTATCTTTAATTAAAAAAGCGTTGGCAGGAAATGACTAACAGTGATTCATCAGATACACAATATAACACTCATAGATATCCATGCATAATGTAAGCACTCAAATAGATCCAGCGACACAACTCTCATTCAACCACTATGCCGAACAAAAACTCTTCACTGCATCAAAATAATCAGGAATCGCAATGCTGTGAAACAGTTTGAACAATCACAGACTCAAGCCTGTCTTTCCTTTGATCAACTGGAAGGTAAACATCAGTAAAGCAGAGCCATCCTTTTTCTTCAACAAAACAACAGATGAAGCTCAGGGTCTAGATTTGGTGGAATTGGCTGGTGTGGGCATCTTATAAAGTACAACAACACATCAATCCAAACTTTGGAGAGGACAAATCCACCGGTACTGAAGTCTCAGAACCAAAAACCATGAATGATATTTGATTCAGCTTGATGAAAAAAATTAATTTAGAATAAAATATCTGTACGAAGAAGTGAAGACATTGTGCCCAATTTCTAAAATCAAGAAACACATGCCGGCATCTGCTCATGCAAACTGATATAATCCTGTAGTCAGAAAAAGGCTCTAACGATCCCCCGTTAGCTCTCCTGGATTACCTCGGACACAGTTAACAACCAACAAATTGGTCGAGCAGCAAATTAGTGTGTGCTCGCACTTCTACCAACCTCACCCTTTGGGCCTGTAAACTTAGCCTGTGACCACAAATTGCCATTGCCTGTTTCCAGGCCGTATGTCCCATTGGGTCGGCTTGACAAAAAGGGGACAACCTCACCTTCACAGTCTGAAACAAAGAGCTCCAACAACTCCAGAAGGCGTTCATTCCAAACAACTCCAACACATTTTATGAAGTTGTAAATAAAGATTACACAGGTCTGCACATTGAGAAAAAAAAAATCAATGAATCAAGTATCAAAAGTTTGTTTTAATGACAAAAACAAGTATTCAAAATGTGTGATTTAAGTTACAGTCTGCAAAGGAGTGGCTCAATATGTCCAAATACTCAATTTAATCTCAAAGAACTTTACATAAACACAATGTTATAAACTTTTTTCCCCCACACAAAATCTGTAATTTTCTGTCACTGTTTAAAACCCCCACAGATGTAGCAGACAACATCTGGGTCATGTTTGCATTTGCTCCTGTCACTGGACAATCAGGATTTTGGCATGAATTATTATTACAATTATTAATACATGTGAAAATTGAGAATTAAACAAATACTGTAGGTGTAACCTGACTCAGGAAGATATGAATCATTCTTAGTGGCAGTTTTTCTGGTGATTAAGGGATGAAAAGAAAAGACTTCTTTATTTTGCACTTTGCTTGTCAAAAGAAAAATGCTACAAAAAGCATCATATTTTGTGAGAAAGTGTGACGTGCTACAGAAGACATGCACTATTTTTTGGAATAAGCACCCCAAAATTAGTAAGAAACTTGGGTTTCATTTATCAAATATGATGCAGGAGTACGTTTTACAAGAAAATACAATTTCACTCTTTCTACTTGAAAATTTCATGTTTAATTCAGTGCGTGCTTGCCATTTCTTTGTAACTTTTTTTTTGTGAAAGTTTCTAGCAATTTCCGAGTGTAAACTGTTTGAAAGTACAGTAAATCATACACCAAGGTCTTGGCAACAGGTACTTATAAAATAAGTCAACATGAGGAGGTTTAAAGAATTCAAACCAGTATCATGTTTCACTATGAAAAGCTGCAACCCCATTTAATGTGGAAAAATACTAACGCTGCACATGTGTAAGCGCTTAAATATACAAGGAGACAGGGCCTTTCTGTTAGTCGACTTGGTTTACAGTAATTTGCCAGCTGCAGTTTCCGTTGAGAATGTGTGCGTGGGCTTCCCTCGGGCTCACTCCTCCTCTCTCCTCTCTGCGAGTTTGCTTGCAGATCAACGCCGTTGTGCAAATCGACAGAGAAGAAGACAAGAAATCATGGCTTCTGAAAAGTTTTACTTGCGCTTGCTCACCTTTGTGACCCTATTGACTGTACTGGCACTCTCGGGTAATTTTTTCTCTCTTTTTCTTGCACTTAGCAGCTCACTTTTTCTTTCTTTCTTTCAAAAATGCCTGCTAAAAGATTCTTGCACAGTCTGAAGTATGAATGTGGGCGATTCACCTGATATCGTAAGCAGAAAAGATGGGAAAGATCAGTAAATGTACTGTGAGCAGAAATTAATTTAATTGTTTGGTCTGTGGATGCGCACTTTAAAGACAAATAATGATTTTCTATCATCAAACAGCATGTTAAATGTGTGAAAGGAGCTGTAAAAGCAGGAGAGATGCAAAACTTATGAAACATAAACAGTTATGAAATCTCTGCGGTCGTATGTCTCACTAAAATCTTCAAAAGTGAATTGGACACCTACTTGCAGGTTATTAAGACTATATGTTTTTCGTCTTTGCATAGGCTTATGATCCCACTCCCTTCCCCCCGTCTGATTGAGTCAGACTTTCCACAGAGAGTTTGAATGCATGAAAACCACATGTTGAATCAGAATTCATCTGTGGCCTGCATGTCTGACACTAAAGCAATGCAATAAACATTAACTAATTAACCGAAAATATAGCCCAACACAAAACACTTAAAAGAAAAAAAAATTTGTATAAAATATAATCATATGTGATGTGTCACGCAGGGAATTTTGGGAATGTTCTTTTTAATAATGTCATTGTAAATGATATGGTAATTCATTGTTTTACTTCCACAATTTGACATTGACAGTTTTTACATAAATTTGACAGTATTTTGCTTTTTACTGCAGCATTTTTACAGCTTTTTTTCGTAAAAATTACAAAAATGTTAACACTGTATACGTTTGTAATTAAAAAAAAAAGTAATTTGTAAAAAAAAAAATTTTTTTTTAAATGTATAAAATATATACATCCTGATTCAGTTTTTGATATTTTCTAGATGTTGCAAGTGAGAACACTCTGGAAAAACTCTTGATGAAAAAAGGTAATTTCCTTTTTTTTTTTTTTTTTTTTAGCAAAAGTTGTAGGGCAACAAGAACAGCTAATAACTTTTAATAATTTTAAATAAATCAGACCTTATCCTTCCAAAGAAATAATCCTCTCTGTTAGCAGCTCAATTAGAAAGGCGGCAAAGAATTCCACCGGCGTCACTTACAGTAAACGAGAGCTGGTTTTGTGTAAGCTGTGGCAGGGAGGGACAGCAAAATATTCACCAATGCAAGAACATGGAAGACTTTTCGATATACATTTTCTGAAAACGTGTCTGAATATATTATACAGTTTTGCAAAATTTTGCTAAAATCTTGTCATTTTAAAACATAAACATTAAAGTATGTTTAAGTATCTTCTGAAAACTTTTTTCATAGTCCCACTAAAATAAAAATACCTGTGGGTGTACCATGACCCTGTCGATTGGCTTTGTCTCCCACTAGTGGACGGTGATGTAAAGCCAGCTGCAGCTGCAGCTGTGGCTGTGACTCCCTCCAGGGCCAAACAGTTCCTGGCCTCCCTTAAAAGACCCAAAAGGAACCTGTGGGACCGCAGCCGGCCTGATGTTCAGCAGTGGATCCAGCAGTTCATGTACATGGGCTTTGATGAAGCAGTGAGTGCTTGTTGTCATTTCTTAAAAATACCATAAACCAGTTTCATCTACTAAAGGTTTTTAAATGATTTATGAGCATCAGGTAGCGACTGATACCACACCTTTATGTCATTCTTTACTGTAAAGTGACTGTAAAGCGCAAAAAAAAAGCAGATCAGTCATAGCGAAATCCATCTCGCAAATGACTCTTGCAAATGAAGCCAGGTGCAAATCACGTGCCTGCGTTCAGCCGGTAAATAATCGTATCTGACCGGATTTGCTGTTCCGCGCGATGAATTTTCAATTGACCATCGGTGTATAAAAAGCATTTTGGTTCAGTCACGTACCCGATTAATATGTATGTACTACTGGAGTGTGGCGTTGTCAGAGCTCCAGAGTGAATTCAACCGCTTTGTATGACGTCACGAACTTAGAACGCTTCAATAAGAGGTCACTGGGGTTGGCTATAAATACGCGCATCTCTTCATGAGCTCTGGTTACACCTGCACACTCCGGGGGTAGCGGGGTTAGAGTTAGGAACCCCCTGGAGGACCTCGTGAAGCTGGAAGTAGGGCTAATAAGCCTGCAAGGTAGGTGGGTGGGAACCAGGGGGAGCCCTAGATAGTAACCAACATTTTTCTTTTTTTTAAATTACCGTGTTTCCAAAAATAGACTTACCAACAGTCATATCACTTTACGTCACATTCAACAAAGTACCAAAAAGTACCATGGTGTTTTGAACATGAACAATGTAAATATCATGGTATATGTCAGTATCGTGCTACCATGGTATTACCATTTGATGCTATCACTGTACTATGGTAGGCTACTGCCAAACAGTATAGAGCTATTTGTGTGAGCGTTTCATTACAGAGCTGCAGCTTCTATTAATCTATTTGTGTTTGTAATTAGGCCTGTCATGATAACAACTTTTTGTTGTGCGATATATTGCCCCAGAAATAATTGCGATAAGTGATATTATTGTCATTTTAAAGACCATTTTATGCCACTGAATATATAATCATAATGTAACAGCATAATAATGCAAGAAGGCCTACACACTTCCAAATGACAACAAACTTTACATTTTTAAGAATATTTAGATCATGGAAATTAAGTATCAAAATATTAGATACCTTAAAAAACCTGAATAAATAGTAAATAAACATTTTCTAACAAAAAGTGCAAAGTAACAAGTAGAAAAAAAGAAAAATGCACCAAGAACTTGTCTGGAGATTTTTCCATCTACAGATTTTCCCCTGACAAGCTACAAAAGACACGGGCGCAAGTGGAATGTACAAAACATGGTGACATAAATTTTCAAGTAAATATAATGGGCGATATATTGCGTCTCCAAAAATGATTGAGGTCATGTACATATATTGCGCGATAAGTCGATATATTGATTATTGCGACAGGCCTATTTGTAATATCAAATAGTCTAATATAGAGACATACTATGTAAACAGGTACATTTTTAATATAAGAATGTCAATAGTTATATTATCTTTAAATATAATGATGAATAGCTCAATGCTTTTGATACTCAATTAGGCTGGTTTTAATATCGGTTACCGAAATGTAAGTAATATGCTATTTTAACTTCAGTCGAACCAATTTCCATAAAGATATAGTTTATACAACACTGTCTCTGTATATTTCACTTTTCTATCCCCTGCACGTTTCTTGATGTTTGTGAAAATGTTTGTCCGTAAACGCACGGCTTTATTTTTCCAGCCTGCATCTGGAGGGTGCTTTGTAAGCATGAATAAGTGATCCCTTTGTGTTTTCTTTAGGTTAGAGTTTCTTTACTAAAACAACTTTTACATTCTCTCGGTTTGCTCAATTCTTCAGGTTACAGTTTCTTTACTAAAACTATTTTTTGAAGGATGTAACCACTTCCATAAATAGTAAATGAACAATACATACGGAATAATGTGCAAATAGCCAGTTGTTATTTCAAAATAAACACCAGGTGGACTCCTGATGAGAAACCGTCCCCTTGGAATGATACGATTCTATCTGCGTTCCGAGTAGTTTTTGAGATATTGAGCTTCAAAGTTTTTGCATTCCATTCAACTGTGTAGATAGAACCTTTTTGTTTTCTTTTAAAATAAAAAGTCCCAAAATGTATACAACATTAATCACATAATGTAAATAAGTTGTCACAGAATAAGAATATGTGAATAACTCAATTTTTGACAAAAATGTCAGATAGAACCTTATAATTCCAAGGGGACGAAACGTCTGACCTCTTGTAGAAACCCAAAACACGAGCACAACTATATGTAGGAATGTCCTGATTGACTAATCAAATGTAGAACATGTCATGTTTTTAATGTATGTTACATCTTGTTTCAGACTTCTGGGGTTTATATTTATGGTTGAACCTTTTTCCTCCCATTTCCTTCAGAGACTTGAAACGGATCTGGCCTACTGGATGGACCACTACCGATCCAGTGACCAGGGTCGCCAGCATCACTATGATGAAAACTCTCCCATAGGGCCTCGCAGCGCCGGCTCTTACAGGCACGGGGCAAACGTCAATTATGACTACTACTAAAACAACAAAGACATAACCGCTCTGATTTAACACAGTGCTTCTTCCTTCTGTAGCTTGTACTTCCTTTTGTAAATGAAAATAACAGAGAAAATCATGAGGGGGGAAAAGTCCATTTTAATAGTTCACACAAAAATGAAGAATGTCATCATTTACTTGAAAATGACAAAAACATACCAGACAAATATCATAAAAGTAGCCTATAGAGTTGAGAACCACTGCCATATATCATATGCTACCTTTATGTGAAGAAAAGACTGAAATTTAAGTCATTACCAATAATCTTGTCAAATCATATTTTGAGCTTGACAGCATCATCTTTCATATAACTTTCATTATATGGAAAGGAACAAGAATGATGTTATTCAAAAAAAATAAAATGTCTAATGGGTTTGGACCAATGAGTAAATGATGACCGGATCATTTCTGGGTGAACTTTGTGTCTGTCTGGTGTTGTTTTCAAAAGACTGGAAAGAGTGTTACAATAAAAACCACAGAACCTAGGTTGTTTGTTTTTGAAAGAAATTAATAATTTTATTCAACAAGGATGCATTAAATTGATCAAAAGTGACATTTACAATCCTACAAAAGATAGTTTGAACTTTCTATTTATAAAATTCACAAATTGATCAGAAATGTTTCTTGAGCAGCAAATTAGCATATTAGAATGATTTCTGAAGGCTCGTGTGACACTGAAGACTGATGCTGAAAATTCATCTTTGCATCACAGGAATAAATTACATTTTAAAATGTTCAAATAGAAAACAGTTATTTTAAATTGTATTAACATTGCACAATATTACGGTTTTTACTTTATTTTTGATCAAATAAATGCAGCCTCGACAAACCAAAAATGACTCCTGACATAACACAGACAAAAATCAGTGGTGAACGGAGAAAAGCGATATAAACGGGAATGCAGAGATAAAATAAAATGTGATAAATACAATAAAAATGTGAAATGACTTTTCATTAAGCAGAAGGACAGCGAAAGTGAGACTAAAAATAGAATACAGTGAAAGTCACAGTAAATATTTTTTATTAAAATATTTTCACCTGAAATCAATTATAGGTTCAAAGTTCTGTATGAAGTTTCACAAAGGTAACAACAGATTTTGCTCAAAATCATCACAAAGTTTAAAGCAGAAAGAACATTTTCCAAAGCTGTATTTCATCCGTGTCCTCAAATTTCTTGACAGAGCTGGATGAGGTTTCCTGCTCCAGACCAGACATTCGAGATCTTTAAATAGTTTGCAATCGCTCATTTTCTACAGGTGTCCATTTAGCAATAACACACCGCTAGCTTTGACAACGATAAAAAAATAACGGCAATTAAAACGGCACAGAATGTAAACACACAACAAAAATGCACATGAAGATCTAAGCTTGCTTTAAATAACATACAGACGACTGACAAACCAAAGTGCAAGGCAAAGTCTGTAAATCGGATATCTTTGAGGCACATTTGACTGAAAAACAAACTCTTTAGAGACAGCTCTCTGCCTGAGCTGCTTTTCAAAACATTTGCGAAAAGCATCAGAAAAATTCATTTTTTAATTTTTTTTTTTCTTTTCAAAAAGATGGATCTGAAAGTGGGAGTTGGGAAACCCACGCTGTAATGTTGTGGGTGTATTATTGACATGTCAAAGTCTAGACCCTGAATATAAGACGACCGCGTTTTTTCAGATGTATTTCCAAGAAAAAAACATCGTCTTATATTCGGGACAATACGGTATGATCGGATCAACCATATTTGAGACTGTCGTAAAAATAACAAAACACACACTAGTGACTGTACACATACTATGTAAATGTGCCTATGGTTAGACTAGTGAACAACTAGGAAGAATGAATATTCCTGATTATTAATATAAATAATTTATAATATTCATAAACATTCAATAATTATTAATATTACTACTAGGAACAATTATAATGATTAATGTAAAGAATTGTATTATTATAAATTAACATGTTAAACCATCATCAAATTAAAGGCATGTTTCTTGTCTTATTATAGAGCATATTAAATAAATAAATAGATACAAATTAGTGCTGGGCAACGTTTAATTGCATCCAAAATAAAAGTTTTTATTTATATAATAAATGTGTGTGTTGTAAAATGGTTGCTGGACGTCTAAGGTCCTTCAGTATCCCAGCATCCCTGAGATCAACACAATTCATCAGTTGTGTCTGGGTCTTCCTTTTTTCATCCGTGCAGCTTTGGGTTTGGGTATATACTGATTGTTGGCTTGATGCTCCAGCTCTCTGCTGAAGTACTGGATGGTTTTGTTCAAGCCTTCCTCCAGTGGCACCTGCAAACACACAAATCACATCTTATTAAACGGACTGTTCCAACTATGAATTACTGTATTGGCCCGAATATAAGACGACCCTGATTATAAGACGACCCCCCCTTTTTCCAGATGTACCTTTTGGAAAAAGGCTTTTTAAAAACCAAATCTTGTTTTTTCTCAGTAAAACACATTTTGTCTTCAATTTTTTTCATATTGCATATTTTTCCTATTTTAATTTTTGTTTTGAAAGTATGGTAAAAACTGGTAAAATGTACCAACAATCACATTAAAAAAAATATACACTTTTTGATATTCAGGTTATTATAGGCACTCAGCAGTTTTGTCGTCCGCTGCTTTAAAAGCTCTTTAAAGCAGGACGGTTTCTGATTGGCTGTTTTTATCGTTCATCAGCTGGAAAAATAATCACCCTGACAGTGATTCCAACAATATCATTCCTCTGTATCGCTGTTGTTACTGTTGAGGTGCAGACTTACCTATTATTTTACAGTTAGAACAATTATTAATAGTGCTGGGCAACGATTAATTGCATCCAAAATAAAAGTTTTTATTTATATAATAAATGTGTGTGTACTGTTTATATTTATTATGTATATATAAAGACACACACATACAGTATATATTTAGAAAATATTTACATGTATATATTTATATATAAATATATTTAATATATAAACATAACATATTTTTCTTAAATAATTACATTCATGTGTGTGTATTTATATATACAAAATAAATATACACAATACACACACATATATTATGTACACAAAAACGTTTATTTTGGATGCGATTAATCGTTGCCCAGCACTAATAAAACAAACTATAAATGCATAAGAATAATAGAAAAAATAAAAACAATAAATATATAAATAAAAGTAAATCTATTAAAAAAAAATCTATAAAAAAAAAAAAATCTACATACCCAAATTTTTGGGTAAAATTGCCCTAATATTCATGATGCTCACCACAGGTTCCCAGCCCAGAAGCATTTTGGCCTTGCGGATATCTGGCCGTCTTCTCTGTGGATCATCCTGTGCTTCTGGAAGGAACTGAATATGACTGCGGCTCACTGAGGAGACAATCAGCGGCGTGCTGTTCATTTAATCATAGATTCTAAAACCTCATTTGCAATTTTATACAATTTCTACTTACCAACTAGACTCTTAATAAGCTGTGCAAACTCTAGTATAGTGTGTTCCTCTGGATTGCCCTAGAAGCAAAGAGAAGAGAAGTCTTTTTTAGATTTATAATAGTTGTCCAGTCCATATAGCATAAATGTACTTGTTTAAATATGACAAACATATTTTCATGTAATCAAATGACCAAATTGCCTGTTTTTGTGTCTTGGTTAATATTAATTACTGTAACAATGATCAATAGTATATTTGTAAATTAACACTAGATTATTAAAAACTGTAAAAGAAAGAAAAATGAAATCTAGTGCTGAATCGCTTAAAATGGAATGCACAGATTTTTGCAATTAAGCATTTAGTCATTTAGCAGACGCTTAATCACGATTAATTTTAAAGATCTAGAAATGTTGTTGTTTTTCTCCTTTTTATTTGCGTTTGAATTGTTGTATTTTAGTTGTTGTGATATTTATAGTGATAATTTTTTTTTTGAAATAATTAAGCTAAACTAAATGAAAATTGTAAAAAAAAAAAAAAAAAGTACAAAAGTAAAAAGTACATTTGAAAAGTTGAAGTAATTATTTGAAAGCTATGTTAACTACAATAAACCTGTACTGACGCCTCAGTTAGGATGTTTTTTTTCTTCTCAGTTTCTAAGGATAAAATGATAACTAGCCATTCAACATTACAGTACAACTGAAAGCCAGGCCTAAACTCCAAATTACTGGATTGTTTCTATTTATCATATATTAACAATTACAGAGTCTTTTTTTTAATATACAGTGTACTATAACAACTCGATGAGTATATAATGCCTGAAGGCAAAATGCTAAACTCACCAGGTTAACTGGACTACTGATGTTACTGTTCATCAGGGACACCAGGCCATTCACCAGATCACTGGGGAAAAAAGAAACAACTAAACCAGAGTATGTGGCATCACGACAAAGCACAGTGAAAGAACAATGCAGATGCAATGACTTCATCTGAAGTGACGTGCAAATGAACGAAACGGAAATAAAATGATCAACTATTTAAACTCATTAATTCAATAGAAGCCTTTGGCAATTTGCAAATCTGGTTGTATGAATGAGTCACAGTTCATTTTCTCTTCATATCTACACATATGTGAATTCCTTCAGTGTGTGTGTGTGTGTGTGTGTGTGTGTGGGCATGAACACAGCGGGGCAGCAGAGATCTCGCTAACACACCAGCGCAGCCATTCAAACCTTCAGATTCAATGACAGATTTTCATTTAATGTAAGATTTTCAGCACACATCCAGTCCATTCAGTCTCAGAGAGGAGACAGCATAATGACCATTAATAACAGTCTCAAGTGCTGTCATCGACACCTCCACAAGGACAAAAGAACCAAACCAACCCTGCTAGTGCAGATTTAAGTGTAAATCACGATGCTTAAGAGCTTTTAATTGTACATGCCGTGACTTAACTGGATGCAATGCAGATTGTGAATGTGAATAATGAATGGTTAAGGCTCGCAAGGTCAGTTGAGGAACTGGAAAGGACAAACTTGTGGACATTTATATTTTATTAAAGCCTTGAGAGTCCCAACAGCTTACGGCAAGAGGAAGCTTAAAAAAAAAAATAAGTGTGCAATATCCCTTAAGTTCAGTTGTCTGCCTCCACCAACTACTTTAATAACTGCCCAATACACATGAGAAGTGATAAAGCATTTATTCGATCGATTGGTTTCTATAGACCCCTTTTTTGGCCCAAAATGCCACTCGTTGTAACAGTATGGCTCTTCAAAAAGCCTTTGATTAGTCATTATTGTGTCAAGTGAAACAGTTTTGCTGCTTAACACAGTAATGGTTCAGTGTGGACAAATGGCTTGTTGGAAAAATTGCTAGTTGCTTACAAATAATAGTTTTTGGTAGGGCTGGCTCGATACCACTTTTTCAGGACCGATCCCGATCCGATATAAAAAAAAATTACCGATATCTGCCGATATCGAACCGATACCAGCGCAGTTTTTTTTTTAATCAGTGTAGAATTTCTATACCTCAATGCGTGTTGACCTGATCATCACTCTTTTGTATGTTACACACAATCTACTAATGATGCTATTGATATGTGTGCAGTTAGTACCGCGGGATACACTAAGATATATTTATGTTACTAAATGATATATGATATAACATAAAAATTGTTACGTTTGACTCCGCAAGTCACAAGCTTCTGATCGGATTTAATCTTTTGACATGCGCACACTGCATGAATATACAGAGTTTCCCGTTGTTGTCGCATACTGTTTTAAAAAGCACACGTGATATTTATCTACTTTGGGTCCTAATTAGGCGACGACCAGCACATGAACTGTTGTGCAGTGCTGCTTACTTTA